TGAGACATGAAATTATTGGAGTAGAAGAGATGGCTACGTTTAACCATTTCGACAGTGAAAGGGTAGGACTGAGATGCCAACTTAGTAGCTCGCTTAAATTCATGCAGTTTGGGAACCAACAAAAGTAGCACGTTGGAGCAGTTACCATGAAAGTATTTATAGAAAAGATTGATGGTAGCAACGACACATCTTTGAGAGAGCGACTGTAGACGAGATGCCGGATCAAGGCCAATCACATTGCATATCCGTCTCTTGATTTTGTTGAGGACCTTGAGACAAACAGCAGGGGCTCCAGACCATATATGGCAGCAGTATTCCATGCAAAGGTGAATGGTTGATTTATAGATTTGAAGGATGGACTCAAGTGCAAAAAGCTTTCTGGTGTGACACATAGAACCAACTTTCCTTGTAATAGATGAAGCTAGATGAAGCTATGTACCATATTCTTTTAGGATGTGGGCAGCTATGGCTCTTTACATCTTTCTGTCTGTTGTAATATGCATATGAGATGCTATATAAGTGGGAAGAGTTCTACACTCAGGAGGTAGTTATCTCCCCTTGACTACATTGCTTACTTGTGAGGAACTATACATGACATAGCACTTTGTAGCTCTTAGCAGTGTTTGCTTCTTTTTTTACTATCCTTTCCATCCTCTGATGTACCACCCATTTACACAAGCTTGTTAGGTAAGGTTACTTGCTGTTTCTCTCTGTCTCTTTTGCCTCCTTTGCTATGCCCTGTGAATGTCAAATTCTTTAAACCCACTTTCCTCATTATATGTCACAAATGTTTCAACTGTCTTTGATTCTAAGTATCTGTTCTTTATTACTGACATGTCTTTTATCTGGTATGAAATAATTCTATCTCCTTATTTTTAATTTAATAAATTTTATTTTTGATTAGATTTTCATTTCATCCTTTTACTTTTTATTGTAAGATTTATATTTTATACCTATTATGTAATCAGCTTAGGTCTGAAATAATGATGAGGCTTCTAGTTAGATCTGTATCCTTAAAAATACCACTATGGATCCTATGGATATTGGATATGAGTTCAAATCTTGTTGAAGGGTGTAGCTTTATTTTCAATTCATGTGTAGTGTTGTGGTCATACCAGACACCAGGTTTGTTCTCAGTCAAATGCTTGTGGCTTAATACATAGAAAATAACACTTTGGCCACATCATTACCCACAAAATAAAACCATGATCCCAAATTGTAACAGCAAATTTTATTTGCTTGTAACCTTCTGCTGTAGATAAGCGAGGCAGAGTGAGAGTTAGATTAATCTAACAGGTGTGTGTCTTCCTTTTTGCATCAGGCTTCGAGTAGTCTCTGTCCTTTAGGCTGCTAGGAACCACTTTCTTATAGATAACCAGCCTTCTTTGTCCTGTCAGTTTTAGTCCAAAAAAGTCATTCATCAAGTCTGCTCCACTCAGCTGACCTTTGTCAGGGTCATTTGACATGGTTCTTGTAATGTCCAATTCACTCAACTGACTTTTGTCATTATGATAAGTGTCAAAACAATTTCTGTAACATCTTTCAAATGTTTCCTTTAACAAGATATTGGCTGACAAATGATATCACTACACATGTTGCTTACTTAAAACCAATCAGAACATTGCAATGAAACAAAAATAAGAAAAACAAAAGAATAGCCAACTGTTGGCAAAATTATTAAATTATCTTATGCCATTACTCTTCTCTTACCTTCTGCTTGTATCTTCTCATTTTGTCCTTATTCCATTTGATCTTCATTCAACATCCATGTTTTATCTAAATATTAGAGAGACATGCATTAAAACCATATGCAAAAACAAAATAAGGAATATACAAATATTCCCTATTGAATTCTCTTTTATATTTATTTTGCTCTCTCTTCATAAATAATTTGAATGCATTTTTACAACTTTCCATCCCTATCAAAATTTCAAAGATTCACTCATTGTTTCTTTATATATGGCCAGCAAACCTCTCCCTCTGTCTTTTGTTGATCTTTATTTTGTCTTTGTCTGTGTATGCATGTATATATCTATATTTTTTCCTTTCACCAAGTTTCTTTTTCATTTTTCTCTTGATTTCTTACCTCTTTTTTTTCCTCTTTGAAACCTTCTTTTTTTATCTCTCTTCTCCTTCACTTTTCCAAACTGAAAGCATAATTGATTCCATCTCAGAAAATCTGAGAATTGAACAGATACTACATACTAATCCTAGCTTAAAAAGTATAATAGTTGTATATGTAAACAATGAAAATAATACAATTTTAAAATAAAGAATAAGAAATTTTTATTGTTCTGTTAAAAGCAGAGCAATAAAAATTTCTTATTCTTTATTTTTGGTTTCAGAATTTAAACTTTAAAATTTTTTTTTAATCATTTTACTTCAAGCAAGGCAACAAAGCCACTAAAACACATAGGGTTACTGAGTGTGAAAGAATATAAGAAAAACATTATAAATAAGCAAGAACAATAAAAGAGCAGGATTTAAGAAAACAGAAGATAATGATTGACATTGCATTTAAATTTTTTAAACTGCTTAAACAAACATTATAATAAAGAGATTATTTTATTTCCAATAAACTCTCTTAATAAAACTGTAAAACCTCATGAAAAATGTTTCTTTTGCTTGAATCTTTTAAATTAGGAGTTAACATTGATTTTCTCAGACTAGTATCCTCATCTTGATTGTTATGGTGACATTTTGGCTTTCTCATCTTCTTAAGGTGATTGTTGTAGTTGGATTGAATAAAGAGTTCAGTTCAAAATTACAAGGTTAACAATTATGAAAACACCTGAAGATGATCAGATGGTACAATGACTGAAACATTGTGACCATAAGTCAAAATGGATACACGAGTACAAGTAAATCAGTATGTAAGAGGAAAGCATTTTCTCACTTTTCAGTTGGTTTTGTAGAGTTGTACATAAATTGACTTTAATACTCCTATGTTAGATTTTCATTGCAATTTTTTTAAAAATTCATACTTTTAACAAAATTTGATTCAACTACATATTCCAAAATTCAGAGAAAAATAATTGTATTAGAATTTAAGAAAAAAAAAACCCTGAATATCTGCCAAAAATAATGTATGTACTTAGCTGTATATACTTTCCCATAAGTTAAAAATATTTTTTATCTGGGCAAATTCCAGGCAGATTTTATTCAATAAAAATTTTTTCTTCAAATCAGATCATATTGCATTACATAATATAAGCCAAAAAGAACTCTGTTATGAATTCCTGGGATGAGGAGCTATCATTATTTACATTCAAACTAATATCCTCATCTTTGTTGTTGTTATCATATTTTGACTGTTACACCCTCTAACTTTTTTCCCAGTGTCTGTCAATCTGGATAAATTTCAGGGAATTTCAAACTGAACCTTGTATTTAATCTAATGGAGTAGATTGTTCTTGTTATGCAGGAAATAGACTAATGGATGAAAGCATTGGTTTGAAGAATTTGTGTATTTTGAGCCTTGGGTTGAGCAGTGGAAACAGGGCAAGCAATAACTGAGATTTGAGTAGCTTGCCTTTCAGTTTATTTTTATTTTTTTTACTGCTAGTTATGAAAGGTATTGAGAGAAAGCTGATAAAGTAATCTCATCTCATTAATTTACTTTTATAGGTTTCCTGTCAAGCGGGTATTCAACAAACCTCACGATTAGCATCACTGTCTATAGAAATACTTTCAGAGAAGAAAAACAATGCAAAAGACTTTTGTTTTTCATTCAGCTTTTTATAACCACTTTCAGTTTCTTGTACCATGCCAGAAAGTACCTGATTCCTGCCATGCTTTATCTTTACAAGAGTCAGACTATACAAAAAATGGAGCATTGTTGCTATAACTGGGCTGAAGCTGCCAAATCATTGCTTTGCAGCCTTGACAAAGTTCAAAATCATTACATGGGGGATTATTTATTTTCTACTCTACAGTCTTTTTCCTCTAAACACTATGTTATAGGCCTATTGCTCCTCACATGGCAAATGTTCAGATGAGCACCATTCTTTAGTTTCATTAGTTCATACCTTTACAGCTAGGACTCTCCATACTATGTCCATACTATCTCCATACTATGTCCATACTATCTCCATACTATGTCCATACTATCTCCATACTATCTCCATACTATGTCCACAGAGTCAAATCATCCACAATTTCTCTGTATTCCATTAATAAGAAGGAAATTCCATTCAGATTTTTCTTGGGAATCGCTACTTTATGTAAGAAACTTATGTATAAATGCTTCCCTGAATACTATAATCTTAAACTCTTCAAGTTAACGGTCAATTAATATTTAGTATCTGTCTATATTTCTGAGATGAGGTATTATGTACACTATTTACATTATTCGGATTCCACTGTGCCATGTGAATAAAGGCGTTGATTAGATCCAGTGACAGGACCCAAAGAGTGTGAGTTCAATACCCGGTTAAGGCAGTGGAGAACTTGGAGAGGGGAATTAACAGGAGATAACTGATAACTGACATCCATTAAAAACATGACGTGTGGAACTAGAACAGTCTACCCCAGCAAGTGAAATAAAGGGTTCAGTTTGACATTCCAACTAGCTGAATAAGGCCTGAGTGTTGCAATAAATATGGTGACAAAGATGAGGACAATAGTCTGAATAATGTAAATAGTGTGCAATTAATATTTATCGTCACTTCCTTCTACTTCCTCTTATGTTCATATCACATACTTCATTCAATAACCCTCTATCATGAGTGACTCTTAAGCCTTGTATTAAGTGAAATTTGGTATAAAAAAGGTTTTATCTGAGGAAACTTTGGTGTTTTAGAATTTTCCTTGTGTGTAATTAAAGTTTTAATCTTTCTTAAAAATGTACGTCTTGTTGAAGTTGAATTATTTTGTTTTTCCCCTGTATCTTTTGTCAGGTAACAGATATAATGCTACAAGAGAAGTTGTATCCTCACTGGGCTCATAACATCAGGAAATGGTGGAAAGAAGGATATCATCGTATAGTCCTCTTTTGGACAATGATGAGTGCTACCACATTTGTGGTCGTGTTCATTATAGCTACCGACTACATCAACTGGGATCGCCTCAACCATGGCTTCCTTCCTTCAAATGAACTGACAAGGTCATTTGGAGCTTCCTTCATCCTGGTTATGGACATTCTTATTGTTACACAGGTCAGGTCATCAATTTTCTTTTCAATGACAAAATTACTTCTTTTTTTTTTTAATTATTATGTGGGAAGAAAACTTAGAATGTTATTTATAAATTATATTTATTACTAGCAATACCTGCAAAAATTAAACTAAAATTATTTCCTATTTGTATTTTCTATTGAATCCTAATTCTTAGATGAGGTATTATGTACAGTATTTACATTGGTCAGACTCAAGGACACATGGGCGTTGGTTAGATCCAGTGACAGACCCAAAGAATGTGAGTTCAATACCCGGTTAAGGCAGTGGAGAACTTTCAGAGGGAAATAACAAGAGATAACTGATAACTGACATCCATCAAACATGGCACATGGAACTAGAACAGTCTACCCCAGTGATCGAAATAAAGGGTTCAGGAGAAGGCCAGAGTGTACAACGGCCGAAACGTTGTGACAAATATGGCGACAAAGATGAGGACAATAGTCCGACTAATGTAAATACTGTCCTAATTCTTAATTTACTGATTGAATAAGCTCTTTGCGAGTTCCATGGCTATAAAATACCTGAGGAAGTTTAACTATTCCATCGTTAAATATTTGAGCATAACAACTTTAACAAAATATTGCAATAGGTATCATAAATATGAATGCAGGTTATTAAAGAACGAAGAGGATACAAATGAAAAAATTAAAACTTGATAAGTATTGTAGTGTACTTACGGACGATAATGGGTATGTTCTGATTCACATAAATCCAGCAGTAAATACTGTATGTTGGTCTGCAGTTGAAGATTCATTGTGGAATTCACTTGACTCACTTCTAGCAGTTGACTACTTCTTCTACATGTCGTTGGCAAATATTATACGTGTTGTTCGACTCCTAAGTATTATCATTCATTACCAACCTTTGTGTGATTATTCTATTCAGTAACCTTCCCTAGGTTATAACAATAAGGTTTTCCATTTCACGGAAGCAGACATTAAACATATGAGAGTGTTATCACCTCCTCTTTTTTCTATTTCTTTCTTTTTTTCTCATTATGCTTTCTTTTTCTTGCTAAAACCAAAAACCAAACAGCAGCTTTAATATATCTCTTTCTTCATCTTTCCTCACAATCAAAACCAAATGGGCCATCATTTATCTTAGGTAATGGTAGGGATCAACACACACTATCACTAATTTACCAACAGAGGAACAAGCAAAATGATAATATAATAGGTATATTCCAGATCATTTTATTCTTTTACATTCTGTGTCTCTTTAAGTCATAGACAGTTGTGGCTCTTCACAACTTCCTTTTTTTTTTGCTTTAAGTAACTTTTGAATCTTTGTGTTTGTTCTATGATATATTCACACAAACTTATTAAGTAGATTACACATTGTTCCCCGCCTGCTTCTTTTGCCTTCAATATATATTGTGAGTGATAAATTCTCCAGGCCCTCTGTTCTCATGAGTCCTAGAAATGCTCTCTCCTTCTGACTTTAAGTATATGTTTCCTTGTAGTTCCTTAAAACTTCCTCATTGCTCACATGCTCTGTCAATAGCATTATCAGCATTCATTAGTAGAACCACATCACTATTGCTTCAAATCTTTTCTCCATCTCTGAGAAGACTCTCAAGCATTTACTGCTATATAGATTATATATTACATAACAATTCATCACTCTTTTCTTATGAATTTTTCCTCTCCCTTAATACTTTGGTTAGTGCCTGAAATACATCTTTTACTATTCCTATAGTAAAATGACAAAATGTTATGATTGAAGCAGAAAAAACTTATTGTCATTGACTTTACTCATTTTGGGTGGAGCTGGGAGAATTTAACTCCTCCAAAAGACCCTCACATTATCTGGATTACTACATAGTAATGACTACTTATGTAGTAACATAATATTGACTACTACATTAATACATAGTAATGACTTAATATAGTAAGTAATGGTAATATTAGCTGTTTCCTTATAAGGAAACATTTGGCAGTAAGTACTACTTTTTGTTGAAATTTATAAAATCTTTGCAGAAGCCAAATGACTTACCTGCTAACATGGTTGCTTTCTTGTGTCTTTTGGGAAAGGCAAGCCAGCTAATTTTACTTCATTTATAGGAGAGTACCTAATGCAGCAGCTGGGGTTGTCCATTTTGTTGGAATGGACTTGCCCAACACATTTCCTAAAAATATTTTTTAAGAAAATAAGTCTCCCAAATCCAGTAACTGTTATAACTCTTTCCAGTATTGATGTGGGGAGGGGGTCCTTTGGGGGGCGAGGTCCATTCCTAACCTTTTGTTTCAAACAATGTGGAACATCAACATCATTATTTTCTCTTCAGGTTCACTTAGTATTATAGTACTACACAGTAATGATTACTTAACGTAGTAACATAGTAATGACTACTACTTTGCCACATTAGTAAGAATGACTTAATGTAGTAGTGACTAATACAATATTACACTATAATGTCTAAATAACAGTAATATAGTAATGTTGACTTAACATAGTAACTAAGTACTGACAATATAGTTATAATGACTTGACATAGTAATGACTACTACATAAACTGCTTTAGGATACATGTTTTTTTTTCCCTATGGGGTGTTATGTCTAAAAAATTGGATATAAACAAGTTGAGTTTATTGCTCAGTATGTGGCTTTGAAATTGAAATATTCTTTGCCCAAGTTATTGGCTACAAATTCATTTTCATAAACTGTTAATTATGAAAGAAATATATGATACTCACTCTTGCAAAACTGATTTATTGAACAATTATTAATTTTATATAGGATTAATTACTATATTATTGTAAATTTATTTTCTTTAAGATTAGAAATGAAGATTTAGTGTTCAGATTACACCAGAAACTGATTGTTTGTGACAGTATTGTGCACATGTCTTAACAATTATCGGATCATTAATATTTCTCTTGATTACAATATCTGAGTTCTTCAGGCAAATAATCGAATTAGCAGAAAACTGTACATCATGATAAATAATAGTGTGACATAGGAAGATTGTTTTTTTTGTTATAAATGCCCAAATTGAAGATTGTCTGTTTATTTACTTTTATTTATGTTTATATATGAGAAGTTTATTAAGTGTATGAAAAAGTTTTTAGCACCTCCTTAAAAAAATGTATTTAGTCTCTAGTTATGCAAGAAAAAGGGCATTAGAAACTTCTGTATTTTTTTTTTTAAACGTTTCACCCCAAATAAGGCATGAAGTCACTAGCATGCAAGGGGTTACAGAGAATTGGGGCGAGAGCAAAGAGGAGTGATAGAGGAAAGGATGAAGAGAAGGATAGGGGATAGATAAGGGCATCTGGAGATGTCAATTGACATTACATTTGTAGTTGGAGATTATAGCTATCAGGGAAACAGGAAGAGGGGAGGGAGTTCCACAGGCGAGAGGTGTGAGACATGAAGCTATTGTAGTAGAAGAGACGTTTACAGTTTTGACAGTGAAAGTGTGTGAGAGAGATGCCAGCCTAGCAGAACGCTTAAATTCACAAAGTCTGGGAACCAGCGAAAGCAGCTCATCGAAGCAGTTACCATAAAATTATTTGTAAAAAAAGACAGAGGGAGGCAACAGCATGTCTGTGAGAGAGCGACTGCAGATGAGATGCCAGATCAGGGCCAATTACATTGCATATCCGTCTCTGGATTTTATCAAGGACCTTGAGACAAACAGAAGGGGCTCCAGACTATATATGGCAGAAATACTCCATGCAAGGGCAAATGGTTGATTTGTAGATTTGAAGGATCGACTCCAGTGAGAAAAATTTCCTGGGATGGCAACTTTCCTAATACTTGTATATTAGAGATGAAAATAGGGATTAAATTTGACAGAATGATTAAATAGGGAACAAATAAAAAAATCTTATAAATTTAGCATGTAATATATATGTAAGAAAAACCAAATGGCACTGTCAAAGCATTATTGGGATTTGTTGGAGGGTGGCTTAACCCCACAAATAAAGTGGAAAATAATCTCGAGAGCTAGAACTCCAATAAATTTCAGAGATAGATGTGACTTATGCATAAAAGAAAAAATCCTCATGATTAAACATAAAGATCCGGATTTATTACTAAACAGACATAATGAACTAATTTTTAAATGCCGGTATAAGAACAACCTAAATCTAACTAAATATACTTAGAAATAACTATATAGGAAGACTAATATTACATGATCTTTGTTTTTTTGCTTTTGGAAATGTTGCTATGCACACATGAATACGAACACATAACTGTATGTATATAACTATGTAGTTGAACTTGAACATTGATATGTCTTTTGATATGTATATGTATATGCTTTTACATGGAAAGATAGGCATGCTTGTGTGGTTTTTTTGTGTATTGTGGGCACATATTTTGAGTGGGTGGGTATGGATATGGATATGTATGTATATATACTTGTATGTATATAGGTGATCTTGCTTTTTTTTGTAAAAATATATGTAGTTGCATGTATATATGGGTGTATATATGTATGTGTGTGGATATGTGGGTACATGTATATGTGTGGATGTGTGTTTATATAACTTTTTATAATTTCTATATATGTATGTGTGAGTGTGTATATATAGATGGGTACATGTATGTCATGCCATAGATATGGGATGGCGGGTAATCTGTGTATGTATGTATGTATGTATGTATGTATAAATATAAGAATTTGTGAGTTCATATATATAATATGGGAGAATATAGATATAATAATGTAATTACGCATGGATATTGATATGTTTTTTGCATGCACGTACATGTGGGTGTATATATGTATATATTTGTGTATGTGTATCGATGTGTATATGTGTGTATACGTGTATATGTATATGTGTGTATATATGTATATGTGTGTATATGTATATATATATGTGTATGTATATGTGTATACATATATATATGTGTATGTATATATATATGTGTGTATAAATGTGGGTATATGTGTGTGTATATGTATATATGTATGTATGTATATGTGTATGTGTGTATCTACATGTGTATATGTGTATGTATGAGTATATACATATATATATGTATGTGTGTGTATGTGCATATGTGGATATTTGTATATATATTGGTATATATGTATATGTGTGTGCATGTGTACGGATATGTGTGTATATGTGTGTATGTGTATATTTATGGATATATAGATTTTTATAAAAGAAGGACTTACAGTTCTGTTATTAATGTTTTATCTCATTTTCTCAATTAATATTCTCCAATTGGAAGTGTGAGTTTAAAATTCTTTATAATATGAAGTTTAATTTTTTTAAATTGATAATTTAATTTAAATTGAAATATATTACCCTTTAATAATCATTATTGATGATAAAATATTTAAATTGGAAAAATGTTTTGATATTTATGTAGGTGTTAATACATGAAATTACCTGTGTATATCAATACAAGGGTACCTGTATGAGTGATTGCACATGTAAAGGAACGTGTGTATATGTGGTATTTGCATGGGTGTGTATACAGTATATGGCAGAGCAAGATCTTTAATATTACCTTCAAATAATACTCCATATTAACTTAACTAAACTTTAAGTAAAAGAGATTACCCAGCTAAAAATAGTCACGAGTTAAATTCATGAACAAAATTCAAACTAATAGAGATATCACCTTAATAATCATACTTATTATAAAACCCAGGTTGTGTGTGTGTGTGTGTGTGTCTGTACATTTATATATTGGATTGGATTTCCTACATTTTTCAACCAATTTCAACAAAACTTCACAGGACTACGTAAAATTACCTTGCAGTGGTTCTGACAGTGCCAAAAATTGAAAAAATAGTAGAACTGGGAAAATTAATATTATTCTCAAAAAATTGTTAATATTCACTTGGAAAAAAAGGAATTATTCTTACAATCCAAACTATGTTTTGGCTTTAAATAACCCAGAAAATGTTGATAACCTGGTAGTAACTGACACATGGCAATGGTAATATTAGCTGTTTCTTTATAAAAAACATTCAACATTCATTGACCAAGCAGACAGTGCTATTTTGGTTGGAATTTTTAAAATCTTGAGTGACTCTTGGGCCTAGTTTTGAGGAAATAATAGTCTAAAAATTTTTTTTGAGGAGAAAACCAGATTGTATACTTTTCTGGCATCATTTTTTAAGATTCATTGTTATTATTATTATTATTTTTAATTTTGTTCCTAAACCAACAAAACACTGGTTTTTCTATGACAATGATAAAAAATGTCTTATATTTCTTTTCAGGATTGGGATTTTCCACATTTCATAAACAACTTGGAAATCAAGCTTCCTGGAATGAATCGGCCAGAATTCCGATTCTATGCTCCGAAAATTCTACGGAAGGACAATTGGCATATTCATATTACTGGTATGTAGTTGTTTCTTTAATGTTTCCCTTAGGTACCAGGGAGTTGACATTTAAGGACTTCAGAGTGATGTATTGGGTCGGAACAAAAGTTTGTAGTATTTTTTAAGTGAATTTCAAAGACAATAATTCGATATTCGTGCATAGATTTATTCATCCACATATATGCCAGTTTGTTGCACTAACTTTTGCCATCTTTGATTATCTTTAAGATTAATGATTCCATTCTCCTGAAACTTGGCATTTTTCTGGTTGATGAACAGGTCTAAGTGGTTTATACAGGCTTCCATAGAATTGAAGTTCTTCCTATAAAAAGAATTTTGCTGACATTGAAAGAAGTGGAAGCTTCAAGGTTGGGTGAGTATGGTGGGTCTAGTTGGACATCCCAACCAAGATGTAGCAATTTCTGACAGGTCTACAAAGAGTAGTTTTTTTTTTTGTTTTTTTTTTCTATTTGAGCAGAAAATCTCAGATAGAAATGCATTCCATTAAATTTTTAAACTGTGAGTCACCTGAACGTTGGAGTGATTCACATATGCAACATTTTCAAGTGCCTTAAACTGCTCATATGAGATATCTGTGATGTCCTATGTTGAGTTGGATTATTTTTAATCAGTATTTTGATTTGGTCACTATTAACAACTGCAGGCCTTCATTTACCAGATCAAATTTCCACTTCTGAACTGAGTAAACTACTTAGGAACAGTACTATCAGCTTTGGCACCATCTCTATAAATAGCATATATCTTTTTTGCTGTTGGTACAGCGTTATTTTCTTTCTGGAAAAAAACTTTTTTACTTTTCACTTTTAATTTAAGAGCAATTAAAATTCACACACCACATACGAATAATACAGAAAGATGAATTTAAATGTTACTGTAGTGATAATTGGAACAAAAATATTCTCCCACCTGATTGCAAATGGCAGCGTATATGTTCCGCCTGCAAGGTTTATCTTTTTGACTGGAAAAAGAAACATGGGCACCCCCAGCAAGCTTGTATTGCAAATGGTCACATATCCTCACGCTGACAGTCTCATAAAGCCACAGAAAGTGGATTCACGCAAGCAAATGAAGGAAAGCAGAAAAGAAGATAAAAACGCTGAACGCCGGTGTCTGGGCAGTTAGAAAAATGGAGTCTCTTTTGTAACGTGGAAGAAGAATTGTGTAAAGGAGAAAGCAGAGGTGCAGAAGAAGATTATTGAGAAAATTGAAGGAGTTTATCAGTCGTTGTGGTTTTACACCAGGCGTATCAAGAAAATATTATGTTTTGTTCAGGAAGTTTCGTCAGACGTCGCGGATTGCAACAACAACAACAACTACAAGCTATTTTGTTTTTTCTCATGGCCTTAGCACGGCGGAATCACTTGCAGCTTGTTGCCTCTCTGATGGTGTCTCAGTCGTTCTTGCAGTCGCCGCAACCATTTCTGTATCTTTCAGAATATTTCGGGCCCTGGCTAGCAATTCATCGATGCCCAGTTTGTCCAGTCTCAAGAATGATCGCAGCAGCCGACTAACATCATCAGGAAGCCCAGCCAAAAAAGCACATTCCAATATGCGGTCAGTTGTTCCGCTAAACGGTACTGCTAGCTTCCTTAAATCAGCTAGATAGAGTGTGCCCGGTGATGGACTACAGAGAGCTCAATGAACACGTGGATGCCTTCACTGTGGATGCAGATGTATGTACAGCCAGATTGAGGGAGTGGCGTCAGCAAGGAGTTAATGTGGCACTGCTTGACCTGTGGAGGGCCTACTTACAAGTACGAGTCCACAAGTCTCTCTGGGCATTTCAGACTGTACTGATCAAGGGGAAAAGATATTACCTCATGCGGTTGGGCTTCGGGCTAAACGTGGCACCAATGATCATGAAGGCTCTCATCAGTACAGTGCTGGCACAAGAAGAACAGATGAAGAAGGTGACATCATCCTATATTGACAACATATATGTAAATGAGAATGAATTATCTGCAGACGAGGTCAAGACCAAGTTGGAAACCTTTGGTTTAACTTGTAAAAACCCTGAGCGCCTAAAGCACGGAGCTAAAGTGCTGGGTCTTAAGGTCTGTGGGGAGCGTGACACTTTACGTTGGAAGCGAGGAACTGCCATTCCAGAACCCCCAGCTGAGATGACACGATGCACAATATTTTCCTGGTGTGGGAAGTTGGTGGGCCACTTCCCTGTTTGCGGCTGGCTGCGCGTAATAGGCGGAGTTCTAAAGAGATGCATAACTATGAAGACCAAGGGATGGGATGACCCGATAGACGACGTCTCTCTCAGAAAAATCGTGGAAGAAGTATTGACGAGGATCATCCGTGATGACCCTGTTCGAGGGAACTGGAATGTATCTGGAGAAGAGATAAATGCATGGGTTGATGCGAGCTCATTGGCGATTGGCATGGTGTTGGAGAGACATGGTGACATCCTGGAGGATGCATGCTGGCTTCGTCCGACGAACGACACTGAGCATATAAATTTAGCAGAGCTTGACGCCACCATGAAAGGTCTCAACCTTGTGATGCAATGGCAGGCCAAAACAGTTCATCTACACACAGACTCCATGTGCATCTACCATTGGTTAACCAACGCACTGACGGGAAGAGCCCGAGTAAGAACCAAAGTGGCTAGCAAGATGCTGGTTCAAAGAAGATTGACAATCCTGCAACAGCTAATCCATGAGTATGGCCTCAAAGTTGATGTTACTCTTGTTGCGTCGGAGCAAAATTTGGCAGATGAGCTGACTCAAGTACCAAAGAGATGGCTAAATTTGATAAGGCACAGGTTAGATTTCTCACCTTTAATGTGCGGCGCCCTGACAGTGCAATTAACACCTGAACGAATCTGAACCATACATTGACAATGTGGACATCCTGGCGTCCAACGTACAACCTATTTCTACTGTAGGATATGCCCCTCTACCATGAAAGCAATAGTCAGATCGATAATACAAACTTGTGAAGAATGCCAATCGATTGACCCTGCTCTGACCCAGTGGAAAAAGGGAAAAATTTAAGTGGAAGAAAACTGGTATCAGCTTGGTATGGATGTAACCCATTACTGTGGCAATGGATTTCTGATGCTGACCGATTGCGGGCCAACACGTTTCACTGTATGGTGCCAACTGATGCATCAGGACACGTTGGCTATCGTGCGAGAACTAAGGTCCGTCTTCAAGCGCGGTGCACCGGCTGAAATACTGACTGATAATGCCCCAGCTTTTTGCAGCCAAACTTTCCTCGCTTTCACAGATGAATGGGGTATATGAATGCATTACCGGTGTGCTTCTGTTCCAGAGGGTAACAGCATTACGGAGAAGTGTCACCGTAGTGTCAAGAGAATAGCTGCAAGGTTGCTGTGCTCAATACCGGAGGCTGTGTACTGGTATAATGTGACACCCAAAGATAACAAAATGCCGTCTAGTGCACCAGCAAATGGCATACACCAGTATGAGCAGTGCGTTAAAGGCATAGAGCCCAGACCATTACCTCCTGAAGTCGGAAGTACCACATACCAAGTTGGGGAGCCTGTTTGGGCCAAACCACTGGACAGCCGGTGCACTACCAGATTTGGCAAGGGACGGGTTGATGGAGTAATCAGTCCTCAGACAGTGCTGGTCAATGGCACATCCCGCCATGTGAAAGACCTTCACAGACGCGATGGATCTTCCATTATGGGGGAAGACGAAAGCGACACATCGTCTGGGAGCAATATGTGGGTCAGAATGACTTGTGGATCAGAAAGCCAACATTCATCTGTACAATCATCGTCTGAGGAAGATACCAAATATGAGAATGACCAAGTCAGTGGAGATAGAGGGAATGTGGGAAACCTGATGGAAGAGCAGCCTGCACCTCTGAGAAGGAGCACCCAGAGGAAATGAGCCCCACCCCCATGCGATATTTATGATCATGAGATCAGCGGGGAGTGTAGTGATAATTGGAACGAAAATATATGTTCTGCGTGCAAGGTTTATCTTTTTGACTGGAAAAGGAAACATGGCCACCACCAGCAAGCTTGTATTGCGAATGGTCACATATCCTCACGCGGACAGTCTCGTAAAGTCACGGAAAGTAAATTCACACATGCAAATGAAGGAAGGCAGAAAAGGAGATAAAAAACGCTGAACGCCAGTCTTTGGGTCCTGTCACTGGATCTAACCAACGCCCTTATCCACTGTTCCATGTGTCCTCAAGGTATCCTAAAGTGACAGGACCCAAAGACTGTGAGTTCAATACCTGGTTAAGGCAGTGGAGAACTTGGAGAGGGGAATTAACAGGAGATAACTGATAATTGACATCCATTAAACATGGCATGTGGAACTAGAACAGTCTACGCCAGAGAGCGAAATAAAGGGCTTAGTTTGACATTCCAACCACTTGAAGAAGGCCAGAGTGTACAACGGCTGAAACGTTGTAATAAATATGGCAACAAAGATGAGGACAATAGTCTAAATAATGTAAATAGTGTACATAATACCTCATCTCAGAAATATAGACAGATACCAGGATTTCTATTTTTTTTTACTCCATATCTCATTTTCTGATGAAACTTTAATAAAATTAAAACATGTTAGATTGATAAAAGTCTCCTATTTGTTCTTTATCTTCTCATATGTATATATGTAAAAAATTTCATTCCCATAGGAAATAAGATCTCTTGAATTTGGTTTTTATTAGAGAAAGTTTTCTGCATCGAAGTATTTTTAAACAGACTTCATGCAATCACTGAAAACAAACAGATTTTGCTCCGCTGGGTTCCAAACTATATTGGAATTCATGGGAATGAAAAGTCTGATACAACAGCCAAATCAGCACTAAATCAAGAAACTGAAGATCTCAAAATCCCTTATTCTGACTTCAAACCCAAAATAATTAGGCATATAATCCATGAATCATAACAATGGAACAAATATGAAAACAAAAAAATTACACAATATTCAACAAGCCATTAAAGAATAGCCCCCAGGACACAGGAAAGCAAGGAATGAGGAGGCATTCCTGGCCAGGCTCCAAATTGGCCACTCCCATCTCACACATTCTCATTTACTTAAAAATGAACCACCCCCAACATGCAACAAATGCCAACTTCCCCTCACAAAAAACACATATAAACTGTAAAGAATTTAACCAAACTCAATTCGAACATTATCACATACAGAAGATAAATGACCTCTTCGAAACCACAGAACTCAACAATATTTTGAACTTCCTAAAAGAAATAAACCTCTATACCAAAATTAAAAAAAAAAAAAGAACCCACCACTCACATGATACAAATAGCAAAACCATCCCCCTGTTTGAGCAGGACAAAATGCAAATACAACCAGCTTAAATTAGCTCTTAATAACCCATTACTGGTTGAAGGGCTGTTAAATACACAAATCAAACAAAATATTTTGCAGTGATTGAAAAAGGTAATAATCAATTGGTACAAGATCAGGTGACAATGGCAGGGGTGGGACAGAACAGAATGAGTTTCAAAATATTACCTATGTTATTCTTGCTGTATGTGAAGAACATCATTTTTCTTATTGATAAGGACTGAACGCTTTTCAACCAAACTTTTATGGATGCATTGTAGCAGCTGAACGTATGCTGTATTTTCTGGCTTACAAGACGCTGCGGCTTGAAAGATGCACGCTAATATTGGAAAGAGATTTCAAATAAAAAAAGTCATTCTCATACAATAACACATTCAACATGTGTCTCTCATGTACTGGTACCACATATTGTTTACATTAATCATTCGTCCAATTTTGTTTGTATGGCAATGACATACATTATTTACATTATTTGGACTATTGTCCGCATCTTTGTCACCATATTTATTACAACATTTCGGCCGTTGTACACTCCGGCCTTCTTCAGGTGGTTGAAATGTCATACTGAACCCTTTATTTCACTCACTAGGGTAGGCTGTTCTAGTTCCACATGCCATGTTTAATGGATGTCGGTTATATGAGCTCTGGTAAAAACATGAAGTGATACAAGCAAAAATTGCAATATGAGCACTGGTAAAAAAAAATTGCTGAAGACATTAAGTTTATAATACCCAGAAATTCATACACAGATGTCCTCAAGGACACATGGCACAGTGGATAAAGGCATTAGTTAGATCCAGTGTTAGTGCAATACCTGGCTAAGGCAGTGGAGAACTTTCAGAGGGAGATAACTGACAACCATTAAACATGACATTTGAAACTAGAACAGTCTACCCCAGTGAGTGAAATAAAGGGTCCAGTTTGACATTCCAACCACCTGAAGAAGGCTGGAGCATACAATGTATTATAATGTAATAAATATAGCGATAAAGATGAGGACAATAGTCCGAATAATGTAAATAATGTACATAATATCTCATCTCAGAAATATAGACAGGCAATGACATACTAGTTAGGAACAGAAAGTAAACAGAGCATCCAGGAAGGTTTATAGTCTTGAAAATACTTGTAACAGTTAAGTACTGAGGTTACATCATATAAAAGGTTGAATTAGATAGATAGCTAACATTATAGTTTAATGACTCAACATGCAAATCCACATCCCTATCAGTGATGCTAGTTAGGTGACTGTCTGAGCTCACTTGAGCCTGGCTGTTGTTTACATTCATATTTTTCCAGGTACTTTTAGGAAAAAAGTGCATCTTGTAAACCAGAAAATATGGTAAGTGTGCATTTAGCGTTTCATTTTGATTTAAGATCTCTTAAACAAACAATATTTTAATGATTCAGATTTTGAGATTGGTTATGGAGATTTATCTTGTCTATCTGCTACTTTTTGCATTGCCCATTGTCACATGTTAATGCTCTCCAATTATATTCTTAATGGCTACATATGATTAGTAGTTAGGTTAATACATTCAACTTTATGATTGGTTCTCAAAAATTGAAATTATTTAAGACTCAACACAATATTTTATTGATATTTTAAATTATGGCATTAATATTGCTAAACAATTTTTTATACACCTGAAATATGCTAGCTGCTTATATTAAAATTAAAGGCTTTTTGTAATAGATTTTCTTTTTCAACTTATTTTTGCAGGTAAATGGTTCAATTATGGTATCCTTTTCTTAGTCATCATACTTGATTTAAACATGTGGAAGAACCAACTATTCTATGTCCCTTATGATTACGGTCAGTATGTGGGGCCTGACAACCGTATCTACACAGTGCTATCAACCGAACAGTTATCCATTCACAATGAAACAATGGTGAGCTTCGAATGGAGAAATACAACTTTTAATCCACTGACCAACAAAACTTTCGTCATGGAAGATCCTGTAATGAATTCCAGGTTTATGAATTACTCAATGGCAACAAAGAGTATTGCGTTTATTCCTTGCCTTTTGGCCTTTGTGGCTCTTGGCATAACAGTGACAGTTTTTGGTCGCTTCAAACCTACCAAGGAGGATCCCTATGCAGGTCGTCTGAAGAAGAGAAAGCGGAAACGGTTTTCCTTTTTTAGGAAAAGTAAACGGACGTCACCTGAATCTGATTCTACTTTTGTGGTTTTCAAAGCAATGACAAAAACAGAAGTGTAAAGGAAATCTTTTTTTTTTCATTTTTTGATATTAGGGGGAAAAAAAGTCGGATTTGTAAGTTGTCAAAAGACAGATCAATGGGTGAAACTTTTTCTTTGTCTTTTTTTTATATTCTTACATTCAATTACCAAATTTCTAACATGAAGTCCCAGAATTTAAGAATTTGAATCAAGAAAATCAAAGATATTAGTGATTTTTCTGATTTTTATCTTGTTTCTTCATGACATTTTAGAGAATTGCTTGCACATGCCAAGGCTTAAATGATTGCAAATAATATACATACTATATGTGTTGGCATATAAGACCTACTTTTTTCCTCAAATATTAGAAATTCATTAATTTTTAATAAATGGGTGAAAAGCTTTTATTAAATAGGGACAAATAGTAAACATGAATGTAGTTCCAGTAAAATCCAACCATCTTTTTCTGAAAAAGTCAGAGGCCTTTTATGCCATAAAATATGGTATAAACATGTTTATATATATATATATATATATATATATATATATATATATATATATATATATATATATAAAAAAATGTTTATACAAATGTTCTGAAGAAGAAAAATAAGTTATAATAAATTTTTCAAAGTTACCAAATGAAATTTAGTAAAATTGAAAAAAGTTAAATAATTGTTCAATTTGGATTTTTTCAAAAGGAACAAAGCAAAGTGAAATGTCTACAGGAAGTAGGAAATAATAAAAAAAAAAAAACTGATTATGTTTTGGTGTAAAGAGTGTGCATATGTGTATATATATATATATATATATATATATATATATATATATATATACCCAAGTATATAATTGGTGTATATGGAATGAATTCCAATAACCAACAATAATTTTAAAAAATTATAACATATATATGTTATAAAATGACTACAAAAATAGACATTTTGTTTCAACATCTCTGGTGTCTTATCAAGTGATGATGTTGAATGTAAAATAAATGGTTTTAAAAGTTTCAAATTAATTAACGATCCTTTGCAAGGGGAAAAACATTGTTACAAAAGCTAGAATGACCAATCAAAATACAAGTATAGGAAAATTCAAAAACTTGACAACGAAGTAAGGTTATAATAGCTATTCAGATCTTTAAAATATGGGTAAAATTAAAAAAGAATTTATTCTAACCAATAATTATTAAATTATATGATAAAATTTGATATTAAAATTAAAAGTAAAAATTACCAATTTTAAAATCCAAATTTAATCACTATTAAGTTTAAAATTATAAAATTACTGAGGAGAAAAGAAGAAATACACATGTTATTCAATTTATTTCTTTGTTGAAATTACATTAGAATAGACGCTATGTCATCCGGTCCTCTGACAATATGTATACATTTTAATCTCAAGTGTGTGAATGGGGTCCTAACCTCACATGTAAAACAACACAAACACAATCAGATTATAATACATAAGCACCCAGACATATTTAGATATATATACACACAAAAAAAGTGACGAGACAGGGAACATCTCCATGGCCCTTTATGAAAAAAGGGGGGGGGCTACATACATACACAATTAAAAGTGAATGCACTTTCCATACACATAGACACCGATAAATGAAGGATCGTTAATTAATTTGAAACTTTTAAACTTTTAATTCTGCAAAATTCTGTAAGGACAAGATATGTGGATATTTAATGTTATTCATTATATATCTTCAGATTTTGCTTTACAAACTACAAAAAAAATCGCATGAATATTAATATCATACTGGTATGATTTAACACCTGAATATAAAGATTCCAGGTGAAAAAATAATTTGAAGAATCTAAAAAGAAACATTGTGCAAATTTGAATAAAATCTAAATTAAAAGTGGAAAAATAGGCCCACAAATAATGTAGACTCTATATTATTATTAAAAAAATTAAACCTGTGATCACTTTCAGATGTGTGAAAGAAAATCTCTAAGTAGAAAACATTGTAGGTGTTGGATGAAAATCCAAGCATAAACATTTTTACCTATAATCTGTCTCTCTCTCACTCTCTCTTCACACACACACACACACACACACATTATAATAATAATTTCATACAACTACTGTTGTAAAGGCAGCAGTAGTAGTGGTTTCAAAAATTCATTGCTGGCTGATAACACTAAAGTCACCAGGCAATACCTCATGATATCAAAAGATTTTTTTGTAAGAAAATCAGATCAATGCAGATATAGTGTCTGACTTGTTTTGGGGCATATATATATATATATATATATATATATATATATATATATATATATATATTTATATATATATAAAAGTATATTTTGGTAGTAATCTTTAATTTAAACATAATAGTCAAAAAGTATTCAGATTTCTACCTCTAATTTCAGCTAGTCCCTTTATTTGAATTAAGGATTTAATTTCACACCAGAAAAATCTTACTAAAAGGCCTAACAGACATTCTTTGTCTGTTTTATTCAATGGAAGATTTTAAAATTATATATATATATATATATATATATATATATATATATATATATATATATACACATTTTCAAACAGGTTTAGTTGAATAATATCAACAAGTTCTGTCTCTCAATTTTTATAAAGTTTTCCAAATTTTCAAATTAGTTTTTTAAATGTCCAAATAATGTTACTAATTTTGAATTTGCAAATAATGTTATGTTTTTTTGAATTTCGGAATAAGGTTATGTTTTTTTGAATTGCAAAATAATAAAAAATTGGATATACAGAACTTGTTGATAATATTCAGCAAAACTTGTTTGAAAGAATTCTTACAGCTTCAACACACAGACACACACGCGCACACACACACACACACACACACACACACACATATATATATATATATATTAATATCTTGCTTCTTTAAACTCTATTCTGTTAGTTAACAAAGTGTGAAAACATTTGTAATAAAATTAAAATAATCAGTAATCAAGAAATGGAGACATTGATCTAATGCAGCTTTCGCTTTTTTTTCTCACAGTAATTAACAAAATTCACACTTACACCAGATAAATTACTCTTTCAAAAAATGTGATAAAACATTAAAATACACTCTTTCCCACAGCCATAACATAGTGTTCCTGTGCCTTTTCTATAAATACTTTCATGGTAATTGTTCTGATAAACTTTCCTTTATTGTATGTAGACTTTATAAATTTAAGTGCAGTACTAGATTGGTGGCAAGGTCTCATCATCTTACAGTTGAAATGGCGAGATGTAACTATAAGTTCTATGCTAACATTTTCTTCTCTTGCACTTCTCGCTTGTGGAACTCTCTTCCGGCTTCTTGATTTTTGGCCAACTTTAATTTTAAAAATTTTCAATACAATTGTTATCTTCTGTCTTCTTAATTCCTCTTCTTTTATTGTTCTCTCTCCTTAATAATGTTTTTTTTTTCTTATATTCTCTCACACACAGCAACCCTTTGTATTTGAGTAACTTTATTGCCTTACTTGGGGTGAAATGATTAAAAAAAAGGGATCTCTTAAATATTATAAGCTTTTATTATCATAACACTTTTTGCTGTATTTAAAAAAAAACATTTACATACACCCTGTCTGAAGTTATTAAGCAAATCATATAAATTTCAATAATTCAAATTTGTACATTATTTACATTATTCGGACTATTGTCCTCATCTTTGTCACCATATTTATCACAACATTTTGGCCGTTGTACACGCCGGCCTTCTTCAGGTGGTTGGAATGTCGAACTGTGGACACATGGCACAGTGGATAAAGGCGTTAGTTAGATCCAGTGACAGGACCCAAAGAGTGTGAATTCAATACCCGGGTAAGGCAGTGGAGAACTTTCAGAGGGAAATTAACAGGAGATAACTGATAACTGACATCCATCAAACATGGCACATGGAACTAGAACAGTCTACCCCAGTGATCGAAATAAAGGGTTCAGGAGAAGGCCAGAGTGTACATTCCAACCACCTGAAGAAGGCTGGAGCGTACAACGGCTGAAACGTTGTGATAAATATGGTGACAAAGATGAGGACAATAGTCCAAATAATGTAAATAATGTACATAATACCTCATCTCAGAAATATAGACAAATTCAAATTTGGTTTGAAAAAAAATTTGTCAAATTTTAAACAATCAATTTAGATGCCAAAACAAAGCCTGAGTTAAAATTTTAGGTAGTATCAATATTTTTTGTTGAAGTTAATGAAGTTATTCTAAAAAACTGCCATGTGAAGTTATTAGGCAAAATCAAATAATCACATTTCACTTCATTAAAAAGGAAATAAAACCATCAAAAGTTGATCAACATTTATAATAGAACAAATAACAAACACATATGATAAGTCTTTGAATCTTTTACATTTTAATATAGTGACTCTGAGACGGTCACTATATTAACAAAATCAATGGATAATAGATTACTGCCTGTTATTGAGACATAACAGGCAGTAATCTATTATCCATTGATTTTGTTAATTTCTTACTTCAGCAGGTTCAATTTCTGACAGTAGTTTTAATTACTTCCTGTAGGTTTGCTTTGCTGTTATATTGTTTGCCACCTCTATATAATTTCATCTTCACAATTGACCATAGATTTTCGATCAGATTCAGATCAGGACTTGATGGTGGCCATATCATTATCTTCTCTCCTGTAACTCTTTTTTGTCAGAGAATTCATGGGTGAGCTTAGACCCATGAGAAGGAGCATTGTCCTGCATAAATACACAGTTCACTTTGAAACTGCAAGACTGGGACTTGTACCATGCAAAGAAATAGTTAGCACTGTTTAGTTTAACTCCTTCATTGACTTTGAATGGTCCAATAATGGTTTGGTTAACAATTCCAGCCCATATCATAACACTACTGCTTCCTTCTTTCCTTCTTTTAGCTATAGGCACATCTGAATTGGATAAAGTCCATCCTTTAGCTGATCCATCGGGTCCATCAAATGTCACTTGAGATTCATCC